GGGGGGGGGGGGAGACACACACACATGGGTCCCAGTTCCTATGGGAGAACATGGGAAGATCCGTGGCAGCCTTTAATCCACCCCATAAGCAACACTTCTACTTTAAGAGGTAATGAGTTTTATATACAGTTAAGAGAACACACCGGTCCTAATAAAACGATGAGGAATTATTCCCCAATATAGGAAAAGTATCACTTGATCAATTTTGCGCCATCCAGTTAGAGCGGCAGTTTCCAACGGTGTGCTGGAAGAATTTCTAAAACATGCGGCACCTGACTAGTTAGCCAGGGGCACTGGCCTCTTCCCTTAGACTGTCAAGTGGAACAATGACAACCGCCAACACAGCAATAGCCGTCCCGTGTGAGCCAATCAAAGTCACACCTATTTTTCGGTCAGATCGGAAAAGATATTTTTTGGTGTGCCGCAGAATTTTAGTAATTAGTTCATGTGCCATGAGATGAGAAAGGGTGAAAATCGCTGACTTAATGAAAAGTCAGTGATAAAATATAAAAATGACAAACGCGAATGTATTTGTTTTATCCCATTAAGCTAATGAAAGTTTGCCCGTGGACACCATAAAATGAAGTAAATTATATCATCAAAGTATAATTTCTATCACCAGTTTGCCCTTTTGTCCGCTAGCGGCTCGTTACCGGGGTCTGCTGCCATCAGATGAAATAAAACCAGGCCCACGACCCACAGGCCCACCTCGGGGACGCGCCCAGCGTCCCTCGGCCTGTTCAGTTACTGCTGGTAAATGGCCCATTTCTGCTCTTTCTGAGGCCACGGGGATGACCCGGGGACAGCATGGGGAGCGTCTTCCTCTGTTTCACCCCCACATCCCTGTCCATCGGTCTCGCACCACGGGGACAGTGAAGGAGCCTCGGTGGCCTCCGGCTGCAAGTCCTGGGGGGGGGTGCCTGCCAGGAGCGGAAAGCCTCCCTCCTGCACTTGGCCGCCCGCTGCCCTCGGGGCCTCACTTACCTCGGCCGTTCTCTCCGGGCTCTGCATCTTTGCAGCGCCACAGTGTCACCTTTCCATGATAACTCTTGGTTTTATTGAGTTATCACATCATTGAGACACTAATAGCATTTTTTTAAAAATAAACTTTAAATGTATTTTTATACATTTCAGTTCACATCCACCATTTAGGTACTAATGGTGACCATAAAATGAATCTGTATTATATATTTTACACACTAATTATCTTAATATTATTCATTCCGATGAATAACTTGTTTCCTTACATCATCCTGTTTGTGAATAAAATTTTAAGTTCCAGAGGGAATTATTCATGCGTGTAACTCTTTAATTAAAAAGAGAAAGATTCGTCAACTTTTTGCAAGAGATAACCACATGAAAGTCAACTTTTAATTACTCCTTACAACTTTTAATTACTCGTTCTGAGGTTCAGAATGAAGGCTGGGCGCGAGCTAAGACCTTAGCGAGAGCAGAGGTTACTCGAGTGTAGGTGGCGTCTGCGCGCCCTGGGGCCTGCCGTGTGTCTGCACCCCTCCAAAGCAGGGGTTCAGACCCTTCCAGTCTGTCCTCCGTTAGGCCCTCCACACGGGTGACTGGAAGCGCGGTTTCCCGCAGAGCCTGCTTCATCGTTTCCTTTTTGTTGATTATGTTTTTATTGATTTTTTTCTTTTTCTAGAGAGAGAGGAAGGGAGAGGGAGAGAGAGAGAAACATCAATGATGAGGGTCACTGATCGGCCGCCCCTGCTGGGGATCGAGCCCACAGCCCAGGCCTGCGCCCTGACCCGGAATCGAACCGGCGGCCTCTGGCTCCCGGGCCTGCGCTCGGCCCCGGCGTCACTGCTCGGCGCGGCCAGCTCGCTCCTCTCCCGCACGTGGCGCGGCGCTCACCCGCTGACCTTTCTCTCTTTTCAGACAACGTCCTCTGCGGGGCCACAGCACATGGATTTCCGGACTCCCTGTGAGGAGGTAGGTGAAGCGCCTGGTGCTCTGCAGGTTCCAGAGCAGGAAACGCTCGGCTCCTTTCGTATCAGCGGAACCTTTGCTTTTGGTGGCGGGATGAGCCACAGGTTTATCTCATCTCCGGAGTAGCGTCTGTTTCTGCAAAACCGGAGAGCCCACGAGTGCCTGGGGCTGCCGCAGACACGCAGGCCCCCGCAGAGGGCAGGGGCCGAGCTGGGCGAGCCAGCTGGTCAGGCCCGTGGGCTGCGCACCACACGGCTTCAGGCAGGGAAGCACTGGACGCGGCTCCTTCACGGCAACGCTTAGCATCAGAAGGCACCCAAGGGCCCCTTTAGCACCAAAATTCTAGGATTTTATAACCTCAATATTACATAAGTATTGCGATATAATTTAATTATTAATAATTGGCAGTTCGGATTCTCTGTAGAACTATTATGACCCCAGAGTATGAGTTGGTGATACATTGCTCTCCCAAGGGTATGAAAGGCCAGTCACTTGACTGTTAAAGTGCATGGACTGGGGCCTGTAGGGAATGGAACTGTTCTATTTTCGGAAGAAATACTCTCGTTTTTACTAAACGAGGGATATTCAAAGCATCGTCTTTTCATTCTTCAGGTAAAATGCCAACATTCATACGTAAAATATTTCTCACATTGGCCTAAAAGGTTTAAGATATTTTTATTGTGTATAAATAGCCCAAGGAAAAGCACAACCATAACTGGATTGCCTGTGGAATTAAAAACAAACCAGCAAAAACTTCTGTTATCAACCTTTGTGAACTTTTTTCTTTTCACGAAATGTCACGTGTTAAAATTCTTGCAAACATATCTTTAAAAAAATTTGGTCACCGTTTACTCATAGCTTAGAACGTAATTCGTTCAGAAAATTAATAAACTGCCTCTATGTTTTTAATGCTTCGGCTTCTTACATTATAGTTATTTGTTTACAAACCTCTCATAAGCACGGAATACTGTAACCTGTATTATTATAACAAAAACTGCCTCTCTCAGGACCGAAGTATAATCTCAAAGTCTGAATTCTGTGTTCCAGGCAACTATCTAATAAGTAGGGGACGTTTCACACATTATTTGAGTGTTGAGTGGATGAAACTTTGCCTACGTCCGGGAGGTGATGAGAGGAGCCTCATTGCTCTTTCAGCCCCGGCGCTCTCCCTGGGTGGCCCCTTCTCTCTCTGATGTGCAGCAATAGCGCCTTTATGGACTGGCAGGGAGAAGCCCCTCTCGTCCTCCAGTTGCGACAGAGCAGGGGTCTTTGGGAATGCCGTTTCTTTCGTTACATCTCTGGGGGGAGATGTCCCGATGGAACTGCCCAGTGAAAAAATCAACAGATGTGCTCAATTATGCTCAGGTGGCTTTGGTATTATTTTATACCCCCGTCTTCCCCGTGGGACCTCGGAGAGCCCCGAGAGCGCCCTTTCCTGAGCATGAGAGACTTTTCCATGTGAAAAATGTAGAAAATTATGTTCTATATTAAGAAAAATGTAATTTTCCCTGGCCAGTGTGGCTCAGTGGTTAGAGCGTCGGCCCGCAGACTGAAGGGCCCGGGTTTGATTCCGGCCAAGGGCACGTGCCTCGGTCGCAGGCTCTATCCCAGGCCCCGGTCGGGGCAGGTGCGGGAGGCGGGCAGTCGGTGTGTCTCTCCCCCTCCACTCTCTCTGAAAAGCAGTGGGGAAAATACCCTCAGGTGAGGATTGAAGAAACAAACAAAAATACTTAGTTCTCCAACCAGGCTCTGTTTTAATCCTCGGCGTGAATTACGCAGTTCACGTGACCTCTTTACCCGCAGTCCCTCATCTGCACGGTGGGGGGTGGAAATGTGTTGGTGACTAGAGATGATTAACTGGTGCAGGTCAGAGAAGGCGTTTAAGTAGGTGTGTTTGCAGATCCAAAATCCCACGACAGAGCCAGAAAGCAGGTTAGTGCGGTTGCTGAGGCCGAGGGAGGGGCTGGGGAAGGGGTGGTAATAGGTTTCTTTTCGGAGTAATGAAAATGCTCTGAAATGGGTTATAGTGGCAGCCGCACAATTTTCAATATACGAAAAAACCCAGCCCACATTGAATGGGACAGCTTGAGGGTCGAACTGTATGGAATGTAAATTGTAACGCAATAAAGCTATTCCAAAAGCTTTATAGTTAGGTAAGTATTAAAATGTTCATTGTTTTTCAAACACGGTGTAAAAACTCTACTCCTTACTCTCCGAATCTGTATGTGGGTTTTCTGACATGGTCCCCATCGTCCGGGACCCGGGGACCACTTTACCTGAAATGATTTACCTTTTTCTCCGCACCTCCATTAATATTAACTTTCAGACTCATCGGAGTGCGTTTTCTGGAGCTCTTAAGTGTTACTCAGCATGCCTTTCAGTAAATAAGCTATGCAATTACGATTTACAAGCTCAGTATAATATCTTCTCTGTTTTGTTTTTTTGTCTGAAGACAAAGACAGGGGTTTGTTTGCTGCAGGATGGTAACCAGGAGCCTTTCAGAGTCCGGCTGCACCTGGCCAGAGACATTCTGATGATCCAGGAGCAGGATGTGATATGCGTGTCGGGGGAGCCTTTCTACTCCGGTGTAAGTCGCTCTTCCTTCTGGTAAAGAGTGTTGCTCTTGTTCAGTGGAATATTTATTCACAGAACAGCCTTCATATATTTTCTTTTACTTTTAGAGCCTAGTCGATCATCCTGCACTTAATCTTTGTTCACATTATTAAGTGAGCAGGGTCCTTGCATCAGTCCCCACACCGGGGGCCACAGCCACACCTTTAGATGCCCCTGCAGTTGGGCGTCTCATTGACTCTAGTTGTCTTCACATGACTGGAGCGACACCTGTATGTTCTTTATTTTTAAAAGAATATGTTTCTATTGATTTCAGAGAGAAGAAGGGAGAGGGAGAGAGAGAGAGAAACATCAATGAGAGTCATTGATCGGCTGCCTCCTGCACGCCCCTTACTGGGGATCGAGCCACAACCCAGGGATGTGGCCTGACCTGGAATCGAACCATGACCTCCGGGTTCATGGTCGATGCTCAGCCGCTGAGCCACGCTGGCCGGGCGACACCTGTATTTTCTGACCACGCGAGTGCATTCTACCTTGTCTCACAGGGGACTGACTGAGAATAGTGCTGGCCACTCTCCGAGTGCCTGGCAGGGCGTTGTTTCCGGCCCTGGGTTTATCTGGCATCACTTTGAACGCTTGGAGGTGGCGCAAAGGTGGGACTCAGCTTTTAGCGTCTGGGAAGCAGGAGGAGTTAGGCAGCGGCCACTGACCTCAGTGTCGTTGCTTTGCACCAGGGGGTTGTACATGAGTAATTCTGGGGCTTCCTCGATGGAATTATGTCTGTGTGTTGCAGCAAGTTCTGTCTAATGCTCTACGCAGTTGACATATTACCCTGCTGCTAATCCAGCCGCAGAAAGAGCCGTAAATGATCAATCACGCTCATTGGTCTTCTAGCTAGCACTGAAGTACCACCTTGGAAGCTATCCTTAGGCGAAATGAGATTAACTTCAACAGACCGGTTTTATTATAAAACAGAACAAGTTTTAGAATTTATCAGTTATTGCTTGATAATATTAAAGACATCATCTTAACTTTGTTGCCACGTGGGATCCCAGAAGAAAATTACAGCAGGGATCAAACAGCTGGCTTCCGGGTCCCCAGGCATTTGTAGCTATTTAGCTTGGAGATTTGATTGTTAGCTTATTGGTGGACTTACCTAGGAGCGTTTTATTGGTGGTGAGTAATACTGAACTTTCCACTAACTTCCTATGGGAGTCACACCAGGTCCTAAATCAATTGGCCTCACTAACTAAAGATAATGGCCTTTTTGCAGACTTAACTATTCTTTTGTCACAGACCATTTAAATCATCCTGAATCATGGGTCTTGCTGTCAAGTTAGATTAAATTGCTCCCATGCGATTATCCTTTCTTTTAGTTAAGGAAAGAATAGTGCTGGATCCCTTTTTTCCTCCCTCCCTCCCTTCCATTTCTTTTTTTTTTTAACTAAAGAAATATGATTTATATAATTCTGGAATAAATATATTGCCCAGGTCCTAGATCAGTAAAATTTTGTAATTTGTAAAATTCAGTATTTCAACACTGAAATGCTGTTATTGCTTTTAAATTTGGCAGTTGAAATAACTAATGTACACAGACCTCATCCATAAGCAATATGATTTGTAGTGACAGAGATAAGAACCTAGTGGAGGAAAATAATATTTACCATCGACATTGAGTTACTTTGATGTAACCAAAACATAGTCATTTCTTAGACAACAAGAATGCATAATGTGGAAATGAGAAGAGATTTAAAAGTTTATTCCAAAATATGTCCAAAAGACTCATTGGAAAGAATACATTTTTAGAAGTTTAGCTGTTTAATAACACTACAGTCCTTTTATCTTGACAAATAAATTATTAATGTTTGATTTTAAAATTACAAAACACTCCATTTATTGCAAGATTTGGAGTCTTCGCGCTGACATTATATGTGTGTGTGTCTGTGTGTGTATGTACATATATGAGTAAAAACAAAGCCTAGAGAAGGGATATGTTGTGTAAATACAGTTTTATAAAGAGGTAACCACTTTTAAAATCCTGTCTTTCAGGAAAGAACAGTGACCATTAGAAGACAAACTGTAGGTGGATTTGGATTAAGCATAAAGGTAACCTGTGTTTCCGGTGTGTCCTTACAAAAGTCATCCTATAATGCTGCATTCTTGTGTATTTTGATTTCTGTACGGTAAATAATTAGACAAGCATGGCTATAGCAAACTCCTCAATATTTGGATTGAGATGTAAGCTAAGCAGGTTGTCATAGAACCTTGCCCCCCTTTTGATTTAGAAATTTTACAAAAGTATTTGGAAATTCTGCCTCACCTGGCATTGAATATAACAAGTTAACTTTTTGATCTGGGTTCGTCTAAACGAGCAAATGTGGTGTTTCGGTGCGCACAACAGTCTTCAGCCAGCCAGAGCAGGAAATCCTGGCCTGTTGGTGAACAGAGCAAGAACACGTTCGGTGCTAATGAGATCTTATATTAAGTATTAGTTTAATTCTACCCGAACTTACTACCAATGAAATCTTATCATTTATAAACAATAGTTGCTAATATTTATTAACTGTTCTTTAAGTGCCATATGCTTTATATTCTGTTTCATTGGGGTTTCCTATCTAGCACAGTAGCTAACCAGTGCTATCCCTCTACAAGCAATGAGATTAAGTACAAAGAGTTTAACTTGCCCATTGTTGTAAGTGGCAGAGCTGAGCCTAAACCCCACATAGAGCTGATGACAAGGCCCTTCCTCTTAATAACTGTAATCTATAGATATAAAACTATCTCTAAACTCTGTACTTCTGTATTTGGGAAACACAAACAATATCTCCTCTCTGGGTTATTTATACTCCGGTTTATTTGAAACAAATACATGGATTAAAATCTAGGATCGAGCAAGTAACTTTTAAAAATAAAGTACTGAATTTTAATTGTATCAAATTTACCAGATGAGAACATGTCTTCGGTATAGCTACCCCTTTCCCACAATGGATCGCACACTGGCTTTGTGCATCTACTCGTACAAGAGCCTCTCCAGTCGTTAGCACGCGAAGCGGTCAGTACTGAGTCTCCAGCGTAGAACAACTTAACCCTACAGTGGACACACATGACCCTCTGGTGTGCGGGGCCCTGCCAGAAACTCCTGCGGTGGGCAGCACTGCTACACGCGGAGGAAAATGCCTAGTGAACACTGTCGTTCTTTATTTGGAAAGTAAACACTTTCGAAGTCACTTGTTATTTTTTTATTTTTTGTTAATCTTCATTCATGGATATTTTTTGCATTGATTTTAGAGAGAGTGCAGGGGAGAGAGAGACAGAGAGAAAGAGAGAGAGAGGGAGAGAGAGGAGGGGGAGAGAGAGAGAGGGAGGGACACCAGTGTGGAGAGGACATGGATTGGTTTCCTCCTGCATGTGCCCGACCCGGGCTGTGGATCCAGCCTGCAACCCAGGTAGGTATCCTTGACCAGGAATCGAACCTGCAACCCTTTGGTACATGGGATGATGCTCTAACCACTGAGCCACAGCAACCAGGGCAAAGCCACTTGTTATTAATGACTGGATGTCACAGTAAAATTCTGAACAGGTAGATAACCTTCCTGGGAACACTATATACTTCGTGAAAAACTTCCACAGGTTTATTTAAATTCTATCTCGCATTCCTTAGCGTACTAATCATAGCCTATACATCCTAACTAAACTCTGCATTTTTTATATGTCTTCCGATTAAAATGCACAATATATGATTTTCTCTTTTCAGGGGGGAGCTGAGCATAACATTCCAGTCGTCATTTCAAAAATCTCCAAGGAGCAAAGAGGTAACACGTGAAGAGAATTTTACAGCAGCCATTCCTTTGTTAGCTATTGTTGTTGAAAGATAAGGTGATATTTAAGCATATAAATTAGTATGTCTTTGAATAACTCCAGCCTCCCCGTGGCCGGGCGGTAAGGGATGCAGGCTGACTCCTGAGTCTGTGCCCCAGGGTTCCAGGGAAAGGCTTCTGCCCGCGGGTCGACACGAGCCGGGGAGCGCAGAGCTTTTCCATAGTCTCATTAAACAGACATACAGACACGCACATGCAACGATATCAAGTCAGGTGAAGTATGAGCAATTTTAGATATATATTATTTACAGTCCCCACACGCAATTTAACTCAGTTAACCCTCCGCATAAGACGTTATCTGGGAAAAACACCGAAGCTGTAAAGCAGCTGAACTGCGTGAGAGAATCAGATGTTTACAGAGACAGTGGGAGGCGATTCAGTGGCTGATGGGTTGAATGTCTAGATCTAAACTTTTCATACATTCCTTAGCTTTGTAAGTACGGGATAAAATTTAGTCTTCCCTCCAGAAGAGTGACTATTTTTTTTTAGCAACTGTGAGATCTGAAATGGCAGCACTAAATAGAAATATGTCAGCTCGTGTTTTAATATTGGGGCTGAATCCTAAGATTACTTTTGGATTTCCATCGCGCATCTTTTAAGATCATATCCGCGTGAAGCATTTATCTTTATCTTTTATCAGTTTTGACTTTAATTTAAAAACACGTGTCTGTATGGAGAAAGTAGCTAATGGGCCGTCCGTTGTCCTTTTCCGTCACAGCAGAGCTCTCGGGACTGCTCTTCATCGGGGACGCGATCCTGCAGGTATACATGTTGCCATTGTTGTTTCATGCGCCCAAAACCTAGTCCGTCATCGGATGCCGCAGGAAACATTGCTTTTCCTTCATTGCAGATAAATGGAATCAATGTGAGAAAATGCAGACACGAGGAGGTGGTGAGTTTCCTTTGCTTTTTCCTTACATTGCGATTTCCCCCATTGTAAAGGGAGGTTCAGTACGTTGCTAACATGTGCCAAATTTTATTCATTAGAAAGATATGACATTGGTCCAATGTGCTGTCAGATCTTGATCTCTTAATTGGTGTTTTTGGTGTGTGCTTTGTTTGGTTGGTTGGTTGGGTATTTTTTTTTTCGTATTTGAAACAGATCAGGGAGTACTGCCCAGGATGAAATGTGCTTCAAAGGTCTACTTAAGGAGGGTTATTTGCTATGTTGACCCTGTATTTTTATTAATGCCTACTGATTAATATCCGCTAAGTATATCTCTACATGAAATACAGCTCTGAATTTTTGCAAATATTTAAAAGCTTATAAACAATAAAATTTATGCCTGTAAAATCTCATACAGTAGCAGGTCAGTTGGATGATCATATAAAGACTGTTGTGTGTGTGTGAGAGAGAGAGAGACAGAGAGACAAAGACAGAGCCAGAGACAATTTAAAGGAGCTTAATTTCAAGGCAAACAAGGAGCTTAATTTTAACGCTGCAGATTGGTCATCGGTTTTTCCTGTGGTGTTTTGTTGGATTGGGGTAAACCTGCAGATCTGAAGCGCTGGCCTCCGACGCTCTAACCCGGTCAGTTCAGGTTGGACCAGGAGTTAGGATTTTAAACGGTCAGCCCAGGGGTCCATTGTTGGTGGCTTCTCAGCTACACTTTGGGAGAAGCTGGAAGGTTGAGAAGCTACCATGGGAGATGGTGAGATGACATAAAAATTATGCAGAGAGGAACAGGACAAGGTAGGGACTTTGGGAAACATTTGTGGATATTTATTTTATACATTAGGTTAAATATCGATTCTACTTTACTTTTTTTTCGCAAGTGGTTCCAGCTTTGGACATTATAAACTCTTTCAATTGGTTTTGGTGTCGCATTGAAATACTCCTTGTGATTTTTTTTAATAACACTTTCTCCGTTTCCAGCACTGAAAGATTTTTCAGGCTCATCTTGTGTATTTCCTGCCAGCCCGAGAGTAGCCATTTCTCGGAGAGGCCCTGCTTCCCTTCACCAAGAATGCGCTAGAAACAACACTCCGGGGGCCGGGCGTGCTCAGGGCTCCTGCCTTCTGGGCCGCCTCAGCTTACAGAGCAGGAGACACACGTGCCTATGAGCTTGTTCATGTGCACACATCGATCCCTACACACTTCTCTACGGGACCATCTTATACCTACAGTAAACTAAATATTAAGGGCATATGGCTGTCGCGAGCAATCCGTTTCCTACTGATCATTCTAGGCCCCTCCCTTTGCTTATTTGTGACCTCTCACTCCAACAGATGGTTGTACCATCTGCCACGCGTGAGTTAATTGTCAGATCCAGGACACATGTCCAGCTCCTCGGGAGTGAGAGTGGCTTCCCTTTCATACAGTGAGCTGTGTGTTGACACTACCAGGTGATTAATAGGCGTATCGTGAATGAAACCTGGACATGCACAGCCCACCTCGAACTGGACTCCCCCTAGTCTAACGGCTTTCCCCGTCTCTTACGGATCCTGCCTCCTTATTTATTCCTGATTCTTTCCAAATATTTCCCCCAGCGTTTATATTCAACTGTCCAACAACTGTCTTACCAACCTAAGAAGAAAGCTTTAGGTGTCAGCCCTTGGTCTACTGGCTTTTAAATACACCCTTACTTTTCCCACGAGGAACCGTGGGGTTACAGACGAATTAACAGAAATCTGGATCTGCACCTACCATTTTTGTAAACTTGCGTCTGAAAAATTCTTTGGATGCTACGCTGCTGGAAAACTGTGGAAAGCGAATTTAAGTAATGAAGTCTCCCTGCAGAGCTCACGTTTTCACAAGCACATGCCAATTCCATTAACTAGTATGGGGATGGTTTGGCTGTAACAACCCTTCTTCTGAAAATATAAAGGGAATTAAAGTTCTTGGCTTTTTCTTTTTTTCTTCAGGGATGTTATATATCTTGGATGTTGAGGCACCGTCCTGCTTAGTCTGTCCTGATGTGAATGTCATCCGATGTCCACTGTCCAGCTGTGTTTTTAAGTGCTCTAAAGTTGTAGTATGTCGTGTGCAAACAGAAAAAATGCTCTCTCTCCGGTAGCATTTGGAATGGATTTCTTAGTGCCTGTCCTCTACCCTGTCCCCACTGGGGGTCATTCTTGGCTGCTTTCTTTTTCCTACCCAAGTTTCCTCCACCTTTTAAGTGTCTCTCGTGGTTCTTCTAGTCCCGCATCTGCAGGGAATTTGGATTCACATGGCGTATGATTTGTACGTCCCAGCTTTATTACAACTCACCGGAGACCTTTGCTGGGCCTTCGCACAGCCCCGTCTTGCGTCCAGCACCACTGTGCCTGGCCAGCGTCGCCCTCTTCTGTGTCCTTCACAGCGGGGTGGTTGTGGGTTTCTGCTGCTGCTGACCCCCGCGTTGCCTCATTCCTCTGTTGAGCTTTTCTCCAAGTTCCCAGATTAAACCATCTGCTTGAAATGCCTACAGTAGTTTCTGTTGACTAGACCCTGATGATTACAGATGTTTATCTGTATTTCAAGTTTTCCTGGGACCTTAATGAAAGCTGTTGCAATTTTCATTGTAGAAGTTCCATACATGTTTGTTGATTAGAATAAATTGGGTGAGAAAATGTTATAAAAATAGATTAATTACTGACTATGCAGACCATAAAGCAGTAAGACCTTAGGCTAACCCAGGAAAGAACACCTCTGGCTAGAGCTACATGTCAAATAGCTTGAAATATAAAACTACTATTTTGTTTAAGTCGTAGGAGTTAATATCATGAGCCCTTCAAAATAACATTCTTTAGTGAGCCGCTCTCTTGCCTTCCCTCCTTCGCAGCGTCTCTGAAGCCCTTCCTTCGCGGCGTTGGAGTCAGGCTCTGTCCTGCGGTCACATCCTGCGGGGTTCGATGATTAGTTTGGAAAATGCCTAAGCATCCCTTCCCAGGGCCCTCCACCAAGCTGTTGCTGCTTTCCTTCACTGGCAGCACCTGCCGCTGTTTCCTAGCCGTGGTCCCTGCCCCTGGGGGGCGACGGGCCCGTCCCAGCAGTGCCCGGTGCCCGGTGCCCAGCAGCAGCGCTGGCCCTGCGGGTTCAGACCCGCACGCCCTGCGCCTGAGGCGCCCTCGTTGCGTCTCCAGTTACGAAGCCGCACAGGAGCCGAGGCAGAGTCGCTGTCGCCATTTCCCGGGCCAGTGAGCTGACCAATTGCTGCCCCACCGACCTGCCACGTGTCTCTCCCAGGCTCCCCTCCCTGGCGCTGAGAGTGGCCGTGCAGCGGGACTGCCTGGGGCGACTGCTGCCCGGGTTGCCGCGGGCACGGAGCCCTGATAGACGCGCAGCAGAGCTCCCTCCTGGTGTCACCAGCCAACAGGAGCTCGTCGCACTCGGCGCTTCGCACGGGCCAGGCAGGTGCAGCGGTGCGGGGCTCAGACGCCGAGCCCCCGGCGGGGCGTCCGGCTCCTCTCCCTCCAACCCGCGCACGCTGGTCCCCGAGGAAATGCTCGGGGCGTTACCGGCAGCCCCCCTCCAAGGCTGCTGTTATCTGAAAGCAGCCTCTGCCGGTCTGCGTGCCCTTGGCGAACATTCTTCCAAACTCTCCACCGGGACAGAAACCATCTCAGGCGCCGTCCCGGGCGAGCGGCCTGTAGGTGGCCCGCGTTTGCCCCTGACTCACGTGAGGAGGGGGCGCTGAAGTTCCTTTGTTACTGAGCCCCTGCTGCGAGGTCACGGCGGGTGCCCAAGATCCCAGATGTCCTCTGACAAAAAGCAGTTCCAGTGGGGAGGCTAACCCAGAAATAGGCTGGCCGGAGCCGCTTCGGACACGCTGGCGCTAACGCGGTTTCCCCTTTCCTGGCAGCTCCTCTGGAGGGGACCGGGGGCGGGAATGGGGCCCGAGGCGCCAGCCGGGCGCACAGAGAGCTTCCGAAGGGTGCTTGTGTGCGCATTTGTGCTTTTGGTTTGTCATCCAGGCACCAGGTTGCAGGAGTGTCCTTAGGGACTTTGTTGGAACAGAAGCAGAGAAGTAGACTAGAGAGAAGTTCAGGAAGACAATAAGTTTATAACTTTGCTAACAGTCATCCTTATATATTTTCAGTAATTCCCATCTAAGTAAGATGGGGACATATATGGCTTCCAGAGAAAGTAAGTGCATCTCATAAAGGACATGCATGATGCGTAATTCCATCAACAGCTCACGGCTGATGCAGTTGTCATCCCGCCAGCGTTTTCGCGCCTGATAGATTTCTTCACGAATTTAGCAACATACAAGGCCGACTATTTACTCCCTACTCATTTAATATATTATATTGGGGACACTCATTTACTGTATTTTATTTGAGACATACACATCTATTATCAAGTATTTGAAATTACCAGACTCCCAAAGAAACTAGTGTTTTCCCATGGCAGTGCAGCTGTGTTTTTCGCTGTGCAAACCTCGGTTACCAAGGAAAGGCGGGTACAGCCTGATCTGGTGGCCCCAACAATGATGCTAATGGTATCAGAGCACTTATACTGTACTCAGTGAGCTTCACGGGGCTCAGGAGGCATTTAAAATTCAGAATAACATAAGTAAATTGACTTATATAATAGGCTGAAATGACAGTATATGTCAGGAAACAGACAAATAACTCTAAAATATTTACTTCTTAGGTCTGTGTTCTGCAAGCATAGGACAATATGCATAAGCAGATATTTAGTGACTGCGAGCCGCAGCTGCAAATGTAATGTGGGTGTAATACTGTTTGTTTTTCAGATCTTGACAATTGATTTTACATGAGATAGTCTTATACAGAGTTCTGAAAAATAAGGGAAAGAGTTATGAGTTCCCTCTTTTCCTTCAAAATTCTTCTTAAATCTGTGCTCTCTGTACAACCCAGACGTTCATGTAGCTGTGGGTTTTCATATCACTTATTTAGAATAAATATGTGCATTAGCTATTTCAGTCCATTGTGATTACACAAAATAGTATCGTCTGTATGAGGCTATTTTAAAAACCCTGGATTCCCTAGATAGACGTGGAGATGTTCGGTACCTCCCCACCCTGCCTCACAGATGGGGCCAAGGAGCCTTTCTCCCCGAAGCAGACTTCTCTGGGCTGTAAAAAACAGCTAGATAAGGAATGGAAAAACAGGGCTTTATTCACACACCCTAAGAAACCTGAGGGTTGGCTGCAGCCTTGAGAATAGGCNGCTTCTCTAGGCTGTAAAACAGCTAGATAAGGAATGGAAAGACAGGGCTTTATTCACACACCCTAAGAAACCTGAGGGTTGGCTGCAGCCTTGAGAATAGGCAGAATTCACACCCTTTATCGCTTATTTGAAATGTGAAGTCGGGGCTACAGGGGCAGAGGTCTAGGGGAAATCTCCATACTTTTTCTTCAACTTCGCTGTGAACTTAAAGCTTCTCTATAAAAATTAAGTGTTTAAAAATAAAAATATATATATATATATATACACACACATATNACTTCTCTATAAAAATCAAGTGTTTAAAAATAAAAAATATATATATATATATATACACACACATATATGTATATGTGTGTGTATATATATTTATATAAGTTAGTACAACTAACCAACAGTTTCCCAGGGAGAAATTTAAAACTATGCACAGCCACAGAGAAGAAGAATATATATATATGTGTGTGTGTGTGTGTGTGTATAAAAAACAATCCCAAGCTACGAGTGTTCTTGACTACATACCAAAGCAGTGGCAGATGGCTAAATTCCTCTTAAAATCTCAGAGTAGAGGGACTGGCCTCCAAGNTTATATAAGTTAGTACAACTAACCAACAGTTTCCCAGGAAGAAATTTAAAACTATGTACAGCCACAGAGGAAAAAGAATGTGTGTGTGTGTGTATAAAAAACAATCCCAAGCTACGAGTGCTCTCGACTACATACCAAAGCAGTGGCGGATGGCTAAATTCCTCTTAAAATCTCAGAGTAGAGGGACTGGCCTCCAAGTAGAAAGAGAAACGGGCAAAAATTACGAAAAGAGTTTGTGAAGTTTTCCTTTTAACTGGTGAATGGAACGTAAGAATATTCAGTCCATGAACTGAGTAGGTAGTTGTGCCGTGGTTTAACGGAGCACGTTTATAAATACCTCCCTTCATCTGGGTTCCCGTCTCTGCTCTCACTGGTTGCCTTCACTTACCCATCTCGGTCCCGTTGCTCATGGGCTCACCCAAGGCAGTAGCTGTGCTAACACGCTATCTGATTAAAATGCACAGCATTTGACTTGCATTATAAAATGTGAATGAAAATGAAAAAGACAGTTGGATTCATGGGTGCAGGCTTCTAATTGTGCAGGAAGATGACATTTATCATCATTCAGGAGGTAGAACCTGTAATTTCCAACCTGACAGTGTCAGGTGAATGAAATATGCATGCAAAGCATAGTAGGGACCCTGAAAAAAATTAACACAGTTATTTCCATCCTGTTCCCTGAAAAGAGGAACATTCCTGCATGAATTAAAAATGCCTGTCAAGGATTTGAAGGTGTGATTACTCAGAAAGATATCCATCATTGATCTTTTATTGGAAACACAACAAAATGATCTCTCCAGGGTGAAATTTTGTAACTTTTAAAAAGCTTTTAATTTTCTCAATTACACTTGTACAAAACTTCAAGAATGAAATACAAATGTAAAGTTTTGAATTCAAACTAGTTGCCTATTGTCTAGGTAACCAAACTAGTTAACCACCTCCACCCAGCCCCTGCCCCCCACCCCCGGCCGTTACCACGATGTTGTCTGTGTCCATGTTCTTTCTTCACTAATTATTCTTAATTCTTCTCTTAGTTTATGTGATAAAATTATTTATTTAAAATTTATTTAAAATTATAAATATACGTATGTTTTTTTCCAGGTATGTTTGCTTTAAATAAATCCTCAGCCTCTTATATTTCTTTTAATATTCCTTACACCTATCTTGGAATAATTTTTTAAGAAATTACCATTATTTTAATTGGTAGGTTGAGACCTATTAATTCCATGATTTGGAAAATGTTGAGCTATCGATAATAATAGTGTTGATTATAATTCTAAGTTTTCAGGGAAAGGAAAATAAAATGTGTGATGGGGTAACAGGAAAATAATACCCGCTTTTAGCAAAGAGTTTGAGTGAATTGGAGCCATTTTATTTACATAAAATTAGCACTCTGGACAGCGTCTAGGGTCATTTATTTGTAGATCACCGAATGTTGCATAATATATGCTCGATAAATACGTTTTACATTAATAAGTGTAGTGGCACGAGCACTACATTGTTCCATAAACTTCACGATCCTTCAGAGCCGCCTAAGACAGACCAAGGAAACCTCGGTGTCTGTGGATGGAGATGGTGAGGGGAGTGGTCAGGCCGCAGAGCGGAAGGGACAGGAGAGCCCTGCTGACCCCGCGTCTGCGGCGTTAGGTCCCTTATGCCCCTGTCTCGGAAAATACCCCGGCCACCAGGGGAGCTGGGGTGGGAGGTCAGCACAGCGTCCCGAGACCCCGCGAGGCGAGGCGAGGCGAGGCGGGCGGGCGGGCGCCGAGGCCTCACCGTGCGGCGCTTCTCGGCTTGTCCTTTAGGTCCAGGTCCTCAGGAACGCGGGCGAGGACGTGACCCTGACCGTGGCCTTTCTGAGAAGAGCGCCTGCCTTCCTCAAGCTGCCCCTGAACGAGGACTGCGCGTGTAAGCCCGGGCCTCGGCCCGCGCCGCTGCGGAGACGGCCCCTGGCGCTCAGGAGCAGTTTCCCTTTGAATCTGGGTTTCTGCCTGAGTACAAACATTTTAATCCTATGCAAAGGGAGCACATCTTATTTCTAGTTCAGAATGTGTTCATCACATTTAGTGATTTTCCCGTCTTTAATGGGAGAAGCATTGTTCATTTTAAAAAGAAGCGTCATCTCGCCCCAGCCGATGTGGCCCAGCGGCCAGGGGGTCGGCCCGTGGACCGATTCGGGTCAGGGCACGAACCTGGGTTGCAGGCCAGGGCACGTGCGGGAAGCAGCCAGTCGATGTTTCTCCCTCTAACCACTGAGCCGAACAAGCTGGGGCAGGCTTCAGTTTTTAGTCGCAGTTTTGCAAAAGTAGATAGTTCCAATAAGGGTAGTTCCCATTATAGTATTTACCAAGAGCCCTTGTAAAGACAGAAAGCCTTTTTTTTGCACCATGGAAAACTATGGTACCTAAAGATAAGATTTGCCCGGAGGTTGACACATGACATGTAGAACTTGAATGACGAACAAAACCCTACACTGCTAAGTGTTACAAGTGTGGCTCACTTTGGATAATAAAATGAATGCTACTTTTATAAGGTTGTTTATTTTCCTTAATAAAGCCTTAATTTTTCTGAAATCAAAGACCCAATATTTGCAGGTCTCTTTTAGGGCCCCAATAACTTTAGGCAATGAGCTCTCTTGCAAAACTCTGACTTCGATATAAATGAAATAGAAATTTATTTTACTACCTGATTTGCTTAATATCGTTGGATATCATGAAATATAACACTGTAGAGTGCATTAGTCTAGAATGCCTTGGCATTCTCACCAGCGGGCTGTGGTGTTTCTGTTTCTCATAGGTGCCCCAAGTGACCAGAGTAGCGGCACTTCCTCTCCCCTCTGTGACAGCGGCTTACATCTCAACTATCACCCCAACAATACGGTAAGATCCCCGAAGCACGGTGCACATTAGTAAGGAGATTAACACAAAAAGCCCCCAAATATGTATATTTATAGTTTGCAAAAGCTGATACTGAATCTGGGTTGAAATCCTTGGCTGCTTCATCATTTGAGTATTATGACAAGCCAGGAAGGAAGGTATAACTCGGTCAGTTATTTTATTTACTTTTTAATTATTTATTAAACATGTCTTTACTGATTTCAGAGAGAGGAAGGGAGAGGGGGAGAGAGAGAGAAACATCAAGACGAGAGAGTCATCGATCGGCTGCCTCCTGCACGCCCCTGACCAGGGACTGAGCCCGCAACCTGGGCCTGTGCCCTGACCGGGAATTGAACCTCCTCGATCTCCTGGATCCTAGGTCGATGCTCAACCACTGAGCCACGCCTGGCCTGGCAGGTCAGTTATTTTTTTTAATGTCATTTTTCTCCTTTGAGGAGAAGTTATTGACTGTAGAACTAGCTGCTCAGGGGTGGGCCCCCTCAGCAGTGTGCTGGGTCCTGCGAGAGGTTTGGAGCCACGTGCTGTAGGGGCTTCATTACCAGCAGCTTGGTGGGACCTGGGGCCCTCACAAGCCTTTGGTTAATTCTGGCCTGACCACAAAAGCCTCATCCGTTTATCCTACTGTGTCGCAAACAAGGATTGTTTCTTCCAGCGCCTTCATGCAGAAAAGGTGGGGGAGCAAGGCTGTAACGCATCCAAAACAGCTTTAGGGTTCTCTTTTGTAAGAGGAGCCTCGCCATAGCCTTATCTTTGCAAGTAGGCACCGTAGGGCACAGAGAGTTTCCATAACTTGCCGCTGGGTTAAAGGACTAGTCAGTTAGGAAATTGGGATTTTGAAACCAGGTGGTCTGATTCCAATTTGGAGCCTAAGCCTTCCTCACCCTGTTGCACTGCCACCCAGATGGCTCCTTGCCGACCATCTACAGCGTCGCACATGAAGGCCAGGAGAGAGTAACACGAAGCCTATGTTTGGGTTTTTGCAACCGCCAGATAAGCACTGGAAGCAACTGCCTTGCATCTAAGGACAGGCGTCCCACGCTGGAGTGTTCACTGAATCGCCAGTGGGCCGCCTCTCGCCCCTGAGTGGTCGAAGCCCCTGCCCCCTCCGAGTGTCCTAGACACTTCCAAGCACTTGGTGGATTTGTGTTTCACACTCGGTGACCATTAACGTAATAGTGCCGAGGAAAATGCAGCCTTTAATCATAGCAAGGGCTGTTTTCTTATTTCCTAAGCAATTTTAAATAAATGAATATCTGAAAGAAAAGGTTAAGAATAGACCAAGGGTTTTACCATGACGGCGAAAAGAGAACCTCTTTCTAACTTCATCCTTCAGAAATTACCCAACAGAGAAATCGGTATCAGCAGTTCCCTGGTCGAATTAAGCCTTGGCCCCTTGCAACCCACGACAACTTAGATGTCAACGTTATGCATGTGCTCGTGCCACAAAGAGAATTTAACAGGGAAGCACACGCAATGGTCGAAGCACAAATCAGCATCACGTGGAAAGCCCAAATTACGTTCAAACCCGTCTCCTCTACACGCCAGGGAAAAAACGCAAACTTCTGGTGAAGCATAAAATACGTGTCATTTTAAATCAGCAGTGTTTTATTTAACATGACATTAAATACAAGAAAATATAAACATGTGATAAATATAAAGTTAAAATAATGGACACATTATTTGAGTAGTTTTTAAAAGTTGTTTTATTAGAAAATTTATTATACTATTTGCAAGTAATTGATAAATCACAAACAGTTACCTGTCATTAGCAGATACTCAGAAAATACTGGCTAATTGGATTAAGTACATCTTATTTTTATTTCTCACTTATGAGTTAGTTCACTGCCGTTACGGTGTCTCCCCTTCTTGTGCATGAATGCAGTTCTGTCGCACGTTTATTTTTTCCTTCCACCTCCCTCCGCATTTTTTACAGAATCCCATCAATAAAGACGTTAACAAGTATAATGTTGTTGTCAATGACTATGGGTTTCTTCTTGTGGCATCGTGTAAATACCTTTTGAGTATTTAGGGGGAAATGTATCCCCCAAATGAAAAGGATTTGTGACATGGAAACTCAAAACACAGGAAGAAAGGAAAAGCCAGTAGTGAATGTCGGTGCTCTTTTCAGGACACACTGTCGTGTTCGTCGTGGCCGACGTCCCCGGGCCTGCGATGGGAAAAGCGGTGGTGTGACCTCAGGCTGATCCCTCTGCTTCACTCTCGGTTCTCTCAGTATGTGCCTGGCACGGATTTGAGTCGGTGAGTTCACGTTCCCGAGCTCTGATTTTCTGTTGATTGAAAGGGAGACCGTTGGTGAAACTCTTCATACAGGGTGCCTTGTGGTTATTATTTTCAACATGTGATATCAAGTGATTTTTTTTTTTACACCATGTTTAATATTTGTGTGTTTTTACGTGACCTTTGAATTACAAATAAGAAGATGCATTGAAAATGTCAAGGGGAGATGACAGTAGCCACAATAATAAAGTCCTCTGTGTAATTTTCTGGTGACCTGGGAAAGAGTCCTAACATGTCTTAGATGGACTTCCACTTACGTAGTATCTATTTTATCCGAATAGATAAATTTATCTGAATCTCAGGATGCTTTCTAGCGATTCAGAATGCCACGGTGCCTCAGTTTATCTTCAGTCTTCGTTTAGAAACAGGCGCGGAGGGCAGCGAGCGGGCCCGCGGGAGGCGGGTTTGCACCGGCAGCAGGCCTGCAGCGGGCCCGCACCCGACCGCGGTGTTCTCCCCGCCCGCAGGCAGGACGCCTTCCAGGTGGTGGCCGTGGACGGCGTGTGCAGCGGGGTCCTCCGGTGCCTGTCTGCGGACGACTGTGCCGACTGGCTCCAGGCCATCGCGGCCAACATCTCCAGCCTCACCAAGCACAACGTGAGCAGTGAGCCGAGCGCTCCGGCCGCGGGCGTGGCCTCAGGAGGTGCACACGTGCACGCACGCACGAGTGTGCAGCTTGACACAGCGATTTGGGGCTCCCCTAAGAAAGCCCGTCACGGAACGTGCTGGAATTCTTATCAAAAGAACATCACTTTACGCTGAGTAGCCTCACTTGTCAGTCCAAGAACGCTTCCCGCCCACGGGGTTCCATCAGGAACCTGCTGAACGTCTGTGTTAAATAAGTGGAAACATACGTGTAGCATGTAACCTACATGCTGCCGTAAATAAAATGTATATAGGTGGGCGGGGGAGGCATTCTGGGCTGAAACGATGCTCACTTTCAAGAGCGGTGCTGATTTTCCGTCAGTGACCTTTGGTTGCAGGTAGAAAGG